TTTCTTATTAACTAACTGTAAGATCTTATAGGTGAAAGCAGAAAAGAGTTGTAGCAGCTTGAAAAAACAGATGATGGTCTATTTGTTAAACAAGAGGAAAAGAAAAAATCATTTTACTGACAGAGCAGTATTAACTTCACAGATGCTTCAAAAGAGGAGGTATGAAGAAAGTTAGTTGCCACAATGAGAAAACTAAAGAACAAAAGAACATGTAAAAGAGTATGTAGGAAATATGACATCAGGATTCATCAATGCTAAAGTACCCATGCTAAAGTACCCATGAAAAGCCCACCTTTTCCTTATGCATCCTGAGTGCATTACTAACCTAACTTCAGTGTACATTAGAATTGCCTTAGGGTGCTTATTAAATATGCTTAATTCACTGTACTATGCCCTGAGATTCTATTCTGTTAGGTCAGGTCTGGGGCAGAATTCAAGAATCTGAGTTTAACAGATATCCCGGTGTGGGCAGAAGTGCAAGGTTCCACCATAATTCTGGACACACAACCCAAGAACTGCAGCTGGCTGCCTACGTGAATGCTCTCCTTCCTTCCGCCAGTGACATCTTCCCAAGCAGACAGGTTCCAAGCATCTCGAATCACTTGCAATGGTCATCCATGTTACCTCCCTTGTGAAACATCTCCTGAGTTCCCCAAGCTAAATGAGTGCCTTAGTGCTTCCAAGGCTGTGTTTAATTATTTTATTATAGAATTTATCAAATTACATTATAATTACCTTCTTATGTGAGTCATTTTCCTATCAAAATACAAGCAATTTAAATATAGCTGGTTCATTTTTATATCTTTGGTATCTGCACATTCTTGGTAAAAAGGCATTGAATAATTTTGGGGGTGGACATAGAAGAATGAAAGTATGAAAATACAATTAATTAAAGTACAATCTTGCTGTTTACTCACATAACTTATTTGCATGCACTCTTGGGGAGAGAGAGCAAGCCTATACTATCTCTTCTTCTTTTTTTTCCTTTCTTTTTTTTTATTTCAGAATATTATTGGGACACAAACATTTTGGTTACATGAATTGCTTTTGCACAGTCTGAGTCAAAGTTATAATTGTGTCCATTACCCATATAGTATGCATTGAACCCGTTAGGTATGAATTTACCCATCCCCTCTATCCCACCTTCTTGATTTCCACTGAATTTTGCAGGCATATGTACACATGAGTGTTGATCTATTAGTTCTTAGTAGTGAGTAGATATGGTTTCTGTTCTTCCACTTTTGTGATACTTCACTTAAAAGGATGGTCTCCAGTTCCATACAGGTTGTTATAAAAGATATAGGTTCACCATTTGTTATGGCTGAATAGTGCTCCATGGTATACATACACAACATTTTATTGATCCCCTCCTGTATTGATGGGCACTTGGGTTGATTCCATACCTTTGCAGTTGTGAATTGTGCTACTGTAAACATTTTAGTGCAAGTCTTTTTTATAAAATGATTTTTCCCCCCTTTGGATAAATACCCAGTAGTGGGGTTGCTGGTTCAAAGTGTAGGTCTGCTTTTAGTTCTTTGAGGTATCTCCATTCTCTTTTCCATAGATATTGTACAACTTTTCAGTCCCAGCAACACTATATAAGTATTCCTTTCTCTCTGAATCCACACCAGCATTTGTTGCTTGGGGACTTCTTGATAAAACTCATTCTCACTGTAGTTAGGTGATATCTCATTGTGGTTTTGTTCTGCATTCCTCATGATTAGAGATGTTGAATATTTTTTCATATGCTTATTGGGTATTAGTCTATCCTCTTTTGAAAAACTTCTGTTCATGTCTTTCACCCAATTTTTAATGGGGTTGTTTGATGTTTTCTTGCTGATTTGCTTAAGTTCTTTGTAGATTCCAGTTCTTAGCCCTTTATCAAATACATAACATGTAAATATTTTCTCCAATTCTGTGGATTCTCTATTCACTCAATTGATTTTTTCCTTAGCTGTGCAAAGTTTTTTAAATTTAATCAGGTTCCATTTACTTATTTTTATTATTGCTATGATTGCCTTTGGGGTCTTCATCATAAATTCTTTGCCTAAGATGACACCTTGAGTTTTTCCAAGCTTTTCTTCTAGAATTCTTATACTTTCCTGCCTTGGGTGTAAATCTGTTATTCATAATGAATTAATTTGTGAATGGTGAGAGGTGCAGATCCTGTTTTAGTCCTCTGCATGTGGCTATCCAATTTTCCCAACACCATTTATTGAGTAAGGATTTTTTCTCCCAGTGAATGTTTTTGTCAACTTTGTCAAAGATCAGATGGCAATATGATGATGGTTTTATATCTGGGTTCTCTGTTCTGATCCATTGGTCTATGTCTCTAATTTTGTGCCAGTCACATAATGTTTTGGTTACTATAGCCTGGTAGTATAGCTTGAAGTCTAGTAAAGTGATGCCTCTTGATTTGTTCTTTTTGCTTAAGTTTGCTTGAGCTATTTGGGGTCTTTTCTAGTTCCACATAAAGCATAGAATTATTTTTTTCTAGATCTGCAAAAAATGATGTTGCTTCTGGCTTGTAAGGTCTCAGTTGAGAAGTCTGCAGTTAGTCTGATGGGTTTGCCTTTGTAAGTTACCTATTGCTTTCACCTTACATTTCACAGGAATGCCTCTTTCATATTTACTTTGGCCAGTCTAATGATTATGTGCCGTGTTGATTGCCTCTTTGCAATGAATCCCCCAGGGGCCTCTTGAGCTTCTTGAACCTAGATATCTAGATTTCTGGTAAGGCTAGAGAAATTTTCTTCAATTATTCCCTCAAATAAATTTTCCAGCCCTTGTGTATTTTCTTCTTCACCCTCAGGGATGTCTATGGTTCTTATGTTGGGCCTCTTTATATACTCCCATATTTCTTGTATACTTTGTTCATTCTTCTTGTTTCTAAGTTTTTTCTCTTTGACTGACTGGTTTAAGTCAAAGGTGGTGTCTTCAAGCTCTGAGATTCTTTCTTCTGTCTGATCTAGCCTATTCTCAAGGTTTTCCAACTGTGATTTTTATTTCCTGGAGTGAATTTTTCATTTCTAGAAGTTTTGTTCAATTTTTTTAACGATTTGATTTTCTTAGTAAATTCTTCATTCATTTCCTGCATTGTTTTTGTAGTTTCTTTATGTTGGGTTTCTATTTTCTCTTGTATTTCATTGAGCTTCCTTACAATCCATATTCAAGATTCTTCATCTGTCATTTCTATCTTTTCATTTGTTTGGCAACCATTGGAAGGGAATTATTGTTTTACTTTAGGAGTGTCCTTTCACTCTGATTTTTCATGTTCTGGAGTTCTTTCACTGATTCCTTCTCATCTGGCCTCTTATCAAGACCTGGGGTTACTAGGCCTGGCTTATGGGCATGTGTCCAGGTTCCTAAGGCCCAATCCCTCATCATGCCAGATAAGAAGCACTGTCTTGAGTTTCTTATTTGATGTTCTAACAGGTTTAGTGTACCTCTTGGGTTACCTCTGATCTGCTGTTTTCACCTCTTCCCAAAAATATGTAGTGAGTTAGGTCCCCCAGCTTACTCTTGGTGACAGAAGGTCATATTTGTGAGTTTGAAACAACTACACCATGTTTGCTTTATGTTGGAAGATGCTATCATGGGCTATATCATTGTTCTCCCTGTCACTGGTTGATATTTGTGTGATAGAGCCAGCTGCTGAGATTTTTTTGTGTTTGTAGTAGACTCTGGTCCCCAGGTGGAGTACTTGAGTGCCCCAAGATTTAGAAGGGACCCTATTGTTCCCAGAGGATTTCTTGATCACCACCACCACTGAGGTATGGGAGGAACAAGGCAGTTCGTGGGGGACCAGACGTTGTTTTTCTGGCCACTATGGGGAGCCACGAGTAGGAGGGTCAGGATAAGCTCTCCAAACCTGGAGAGCTATTCACAGGGGAGGGACCTAAAGGCTCATATGCTAAGGTCCTGGGCTAGGTTCTTTCCACCCTTATGGTATAGTGTAGTTTTCCTATGGGGGAGGTAAGCAATCCCTCAAATGGCCATTCTTTGGTCCTCCACACACTCTACAAATTTGGGTCAGTAAAGGCTGTAAAGGGCATGTAAATTGACCTCCCTGCCAGTAGGAAGTGATTGCCAGAAAAAAAAAGCTGCAATCTTGTTTCGGGGTCCTGTGACCAACTCCAGTTCCTCTGGAGAAGCTCTTGAATGCCCCAGGTGGTAGGTCAGTCCCTGGAACTTCCAGATGAGCCCTAAATCTCTGCCACAGCAGTGGGTTGCGGGAGTGTGGCTGGGTGGGGCTGGGTTGGGTGAGCTTGCACCTAGGCTTCTCAGAAGCTGGCACAGTAGCTGCTTTGGCAGCGGTCAATGTCTACTCCCAGCTTTTGGGCAGAGCTGTGATGGGAGAAGCTGAAGTGGCCCCATCCAACCAGAAAGTCTGTCTGTGGAGGCAGGTTTGTCTGAGGTCTATAGTGGGCCTTGCTTCTCTTCCCCCTCCTCTGTTTCATGGTTTTCCCCCTGGTATCTTCCAGCAGGCAGGTGGTCAAGCCAGCTCAGCTCCCCCACGACTGTGCTGTGGGCTGAGCTGTTCCCTGCCCATGATCCTGGCCTGAGCTGAGGGTGTAGCCCTCCCATGGGAGAAGAGGTGCCCCACAGGCACATCACAGCTGGAACCCACACTGCATTCTCCCCCCTGATCTGCCCATGTGGTCTCCCTCACCTCCCTAGTTCAACAAGGTCAATCCCTGACAATGCCAGGAAGAATCGTGCTTGACTCAAGTGGCCAATGGGGTGCCCAAGCAGGATCAATGTCCCTCTGCCTTGGGGCATGCTCCACTCTGATAGAGGCACTGGGCAAGCAGCACTAGGGAGGGCCAAGGAGTAGGGAGCTCATAGTCTGAGCACCCCTTGGTCTGCTGCAGGACCCCAAGAGGAAAGGCCTGAGCCCCACATTCTACAGAAGCCTTTGTTTTATGGCTCAATCGTCTCTAGGCAGCTTCAGGTAGAGGAGGGGAAGGGCAGGAAAAGAGTCTGGATAGAGGAAAGCTAGCACTCTGGTAATCTCTGACCTTCTCTCTGGGAGGCAGCCTGCCCAGAATTCCCAGGCTCTGGAGTCATGCAGATCACCCTGGACCCATTGCACCCCTGTGTCTCCTGCAGTCTAGGCCAGAGTTGGGAAATGTCTGTGTGGGAACAAGCAGGATGAAACCTGAGGAGTTGAAGCCCCCAGTGTAAGATAAAGGTGTCCGGGGTTAGAGAAGCAGTATGGCATCTGCCATCGCAGTCCAGGTCTGTGGGGGCAGGAAGTGCCCTAGGGGGGCTGGGAGCCTGGTGCCCCATCCACAAGTAGTTTCCAGCTCACTAGCGAAAGCAGCCTCTGGGCTCATGTGGGCTGGAAGTCTCTCCAGCAGCTCAGGATCTCAATGACTGTCAGAGATGTTGGGGAGGGGAAAGCAAACCACTGCACCTTCTCTTCTGGCTGGACTCCAAGCCTCTTGGGTGTTGATCTTTGCCAATACCCTGCTCCTTGTTCGGTACTGCAACTTCTTCCCATGGAGTCTCCTTAAGGCTCTGGCAACTTTCCTTCAGATCCACATCTGATCTATGTCTGTCTGTTCATTAATTCTCTTTCATCTAAAACTTCTCCTTCTTACTGAGACACTCCGGCAGCTGGTGTCTCTGGTCAGCTCTGGTATCTCTTCTTATAAGGCTAGTAATCCCATCATGAGAGCACCCCCCCCAAGACCTCACCTAACCCTATTTAACTCCCCAAAGCCCTATCTTTAAATATGATTACATTGGAGTTTAGGACTTCAACACATGGATTTTAGGGGAACAAATTCAGTTTATAAAAAAGGATAATAAACCAGGTGTCTGAAGCTTGCCCTGTAGCTTGAGCTTCTTGCCTTATTATTAAGCTCCTTGGAGTCCAAGATTCTGCACCTATAAAATGAAAATTTATTTTCCCTATCACCATTATTGTTAAGGAAAGATGCTGAAAAGGCTCTGAAAATGGTAAAGTATTATACACAGTAGGGTCAATACAAGGTCCTCTTTAATTTGGAGACTGCTGCAGTCTGTAAAGAACTTCTAAACTGCTAGCAGCATCACACAGAAACAGCAGGACTGGCAATCGGTAAAGCTTGCATTTTCTCTCTTTGAGTGCTTAGAAATTTTTGCCATGGTGTAATTTTTATTAATTTATTTGAATAATTTGATAAACATAATTTAATCTGTATAATAATTGTCATTAGCTTTGTTTGTAGGCAAACTCTTTAATGAGAATACTGAGGGAAATTTTGTGCATTGCATTAGCTTTTATTTGTATTTTTTGGCGGTTATAACACATGGTTGGCTCCTGATAGTGAGGCTCATACTGATCTAAAACCTGATCCATCACCCCAGTGGTATGCCAGGGCCAATCATACCACTTTGTTTTGTTTTTTTCTAGAAGGAAATTTATACTGTAATGTCATCCCCAGGCTTGTGCAGCATAGGGTATAAGAAAGAAGATATATTCCTGGAGAGTAGCAGGAAGGAGGAGGAGGAGAAAGAATTGGTTTGGAGATGCACAAGTTCCTGATCTCTCTACATTAGCCTATTACCCAGGTAAGCAACTTGTCAACTTGGAAACTGTTGAGAAATAAAAAGATGAGGGAGATATCAAGTCATTAAAGTGCAATGAGGTAAGCTATGGCAGTGACCACCTATGGATGTCTTGGTTGAGTGAAGGGGACAACAAAGAAAATGAGGCAAACTTCAAGTACTGACAAGAGTAGACATTGCAAGAAAATTGCAGTTATGTATAACTAACGAGGTGTGGCTAGCCTTTTCCTTGCAATGTCAGGGACTTTTTGTCTTGCTTTCTTATGGCTTTTCTTGTATATTGCTTGCCTTCTTGCAAGATGGTCCTCCCTTCCTTGGACCACTCTCTGTTATATGTTGAGCATAAAGACAGGGAAAGCATACTTTGGGGGAATTTTCACAAAGGTGTCTTCAATTTTATCATCTCAGAACACAATATGTCCAGTCTTCCTAGCTCTGAAATTGTTCATTCACAATATAATATTTTGATCTCAGAGTGAAACAGAGAAAGCAAGTACAAGGAACATTTCTGCACCTGCAGCATAAAGGCAATTATGACCACTGCCCCACAGGCCTAGCAACCTAAAAGTGCCACAGACACACAGAGATAGAAATAACTGTTCCCTAAAGACATTTCCTTGCCACTTAATTTGTTATTTTTATTTTTATCCAAAATTATTCCATGATCTATATTTTTGCCTGATCTCACACAAACAAAATAGCAGTGACAGGAATGGGGAAGAAATGGAACAAAAGCTTTTTCAAAGCAAGATCACAGTTATTAGGTCATTAAATATGAAATGTCCAATTTTACATCAACACTGTAGTTTATTATGTCTCAAACAAGAAGCGGTACAATTAATCAAACTATGCCCCTAAACTATCAACACAGTTTTCCCATCTTAACAGTAGCTTGCTTATGCCAACAACAAAGAAGCCTGGAGAGTGAGTGGCAATGGAATCAGGAAAGGCATTTTCCTTGGCTTTTTGAAAATTGGATATTTTTCCTTGCAAGAAGTGGTCCAAAGCCTGGAAGAAGTGGTAGTCAGTCAGTTCAAGGTCTGGTGAACATGGCGTATAACAAAGTGTTTCCAAGTCCAGCTTCTGTAGTTTGAGAGGCACTGTTTTTTAGCAACTTGTGGTCTTGCAAGAAGATTGGCTTGTCTCTATTGGCCAATCTCAGCTGCTTAATGGCAAGAATCCTCATCATTTCATCCAATTGGTTGCAGCAGACATCTGCTGCAATTGAGTGACCAGGTTTCATGAAGCTGTGGTGCATAATACCAGTGCTGGACCACCAAACAGACATCATAACCTTTTTTTGATGAATATTCTATTTCAGACTCTGTTTCAGCACTTTGTCTTTATCCAACCATTGTGCTGAATACTTGCAATTGTTAAAAAGAATCTATTTTTTATCATACGTAACAATGCAGTATAGAAATTATTTGCTTTTATGTCGTGACAGCAAAGAAAGGCAAGCTTCAAGATGACTTCTCTTCTGATGCTCGTTTAATTCATGCAGTACTCATCTATCCAGCTTCTTCACCTCGCCTATTTGTTTCAAATGGTCCAATATTGTTGGAAGAGTAATGTCAAATCTTGCTGCTAACACACACATAGGTTGAGATGGATATGCTCCCACTACAGCTTTCTGCTTATCATTATCCAACTTGGTCTCAGGTCACCCACATAGCTCATTTCCAAGATTAAAATCACCATAATGAAACTTCTCAAACCATCAACATATTGTGTGTTCATTAGCCACATCCTTCCCAAACACTTCATTGATATTTCAAGCTGTCTACACTGCCCTGGTTCCACAAGGAAACTCATATTTAAAATTAACATGAATTTTTGACTTATCCATGGTTCCACAAAAATTGCTCTAAAAAAATTTTTGAAAGATAATCACAAGCCAAGACATGTATTTGAAAGAATGAGGATGTACCTTCACAGTAAAAAAACAAAACAAGAAGTGTCAATGTGAAATGTCAGATATATCAACTGTCAAAGTTAGTACTTAAAGAAATCGGACATTCCATAACATTGTAAGTCAAAAGGCATAATTACACGTTCAGGACTTTTCACTATTTCCAAAATTTTCACATCTACATGAAGTGCTGGAAAAGCAAGGTGTCCTAATTTGGTAAAATTGCTTCCAAATTTAACCTCTTCTTGTTTCTTATTCTGCATCTGACTTTTTTAAAGAATAACTTAAAAAACTAGAAAGCAGATGGAATTATTACCATTATTAGAACTACTGCTTCTTTAAAATAATTTCAAGTTGTGAGATTATGTCTAAGCCTATCTCCTTTCTTTTCTTCTTTCTTTAGAATGAATTTTCATATCTTCATTTTTCCGCGAATTTATTGTCCAGAATGGTTAAGAACCACAGTTAACTGAAGTTGATGCTGGGGTGCTCCAAAATTCCCTCTTGAGTCATTCTTCTTATTCTCATTTTGGCCTCTTCTTGTATCTAAAACACTTGGAGGTAAATACTCTTCTTCTCTTCAGTTGTTATCCTGTTGAGTTCTGTAGTCTTTGCAATATTGAAATGTAGAAAACTGTCTACCTAGGTTTCTAGAGTTTAGAGCAGGTACTTAGTAAAAATACAGGCACAGAACCAAAGATAAGCAGAGTTTCAACTTCCATACAAGTCTTTGACTAGTGAGAAGTTTCTCATACCTCCTGGTTGCATCAATCTGACTCACAAAGGTGGTGCTGGGAGCACCCCAACACATCTCCATGAGGCTTGGCTTCCCAACTGCCATTTACCTGGGTGGTGTGTTAGACTGCTATAAGCTGGTAATATCCTGACCATTGCCTGCCTGTCAACTAAAGTGGGAAAGTCATATTTTTACTATATTATTTGTTTTTTTAATGTTTTCTTTATTCTGTGAATCACACATTCAACAAAATATATAAAGCATCATGTGCCACACATATGTTTACATTATTTAAAAGTAAATAATGATCTAGACTTTTCAGAAATTCATTATCTAGTAGAGAAGAAAGGCATAAACAGATCTATCTAGTTTAAAGAAAAATGTCATGGAAGCACCTTTAGAAATTTGGCACAGTGCCTTTTAATAAATATGGATAGGAATTGCTTTAGTTGGGAAAAAATAAAAGTGAAATCAATAGTTACTACCTGTTACTTAAATAGAAACTTGTCTTCTTGTTTCTGGAATCATATGACAATTAAATTGAACCTTTACTATTGAACATGACATCGTTTCTTTAAAATCTAGCTTAAGGCTATTTGGGACTATCACCTGCTTTCTGTAACACAATGGATGCTCTTGAATCTTTAAATAGTCTCCTGATACTTCTCTAAGTAGACCAAGTATATCCATTCTATGATCTATTGAATATGTGTTTCTGAAATAGTAATGATATGCCAGATTCTGTGTGGAAAAGCTTTGCAAATGAAAGTGTGAGCAAGAGTTACTAGGAGAAAGAGGGTTTGTGATGGGAAGGGGATGCCACCCAGAATGAAGGGCAAGTACAGAATCCCTGCAGTAAGATATGTCACCTTACTCACCTGAAAAACTGTACCTCATTCCAGGAGCAGAGATTGTCAAGAATTAAGAGTTGAGTCATCAAGGGAAGTAAGGGCCAGATGACAAAGCACGTCACATCCCATCTAAAGAGAAGAAACACAGTTAGCAGATAGGATGGCCAGAGAACACAGGGAATAGTCTCCTGCAAAGAGCCAAGAGGAAGAAATGAACTAAACAAGAACTTGTGGGGATGAAGAGAAATGAAAGGACTTGAGAAATATTAAGGACATAGAAAAAATATAATGTGGGGTATGATCTACTCTGGTATTAGGAAGCAAGTAGAGAAAATTAAGGGAAAAGCCTGAGTTTCAAAAGCCTAGGCAAAATAATGGATGATAATGGCACCATTCTCTCAGATACAGGCTGGAAGAGAAGCTGGTTGGGGGAGGGACAAGGGAAGATTGAGATTTCAATATGGACCATTCTGGGTTTTGAAGTATCTATGTGACATCATATGGGCATAATCTCTAGAAAACATGGAACTCAAGCTCAACAGTGTGCAAAAATGAATCAAAGAAATCACCCAGGTAGAGAATTACTATAGAAAAGAATGTGTAGCAGAATTCCTCAAATACTATCTGAGCTTTATATTATTCAATTATTAAAAATTACATTTTCTAGAAATGTATAAATCATGATCCATATATAATACCTCTACAGTTTTAATTTCTCATTCATTCATTCATTTAAGTTTATTAATCCACTCCTAGATGCTAGATGCTAGGCATAGAACACTGAACAAGATATAATCCTGTTAAGGTTGTGTCCTTGAACTCAAGAGGCACAGAATGCCATAGGAAATGCCTATTGATAAAGGAACTGAGAAGGCATTCCCTCATTCTCACATGAGCTGCAATAGAGTTTGGTGTCTACAGAAATACCTCTAGAACCAGATTAGTTGGGTTCAAACTGGAGCTTCACCACCTGCTGGATAAGTTGGAAAGTTTCTTAAACTTCCTGTGCTTTTTCACCCACTTGTCTTAAAAGCAATAGTGACAATAGTTACTCTTTCATATAGTTCTTATGAAGTTAAAACAGAGCACTTGGAATGCTTCTTAGCACAAAGTAAATGCAATAAAAGTGTCAGTCATTATTGATGCTACCCAAGTACATTCAAGGAACATATGCCCAAGAACTTAGAGCCTTGTTGTTTGTTAGTTGTTGATTTTCATCTCTCTCTTACTTACATGGTAAAGATTGAGAAGGACTATGTTTACATTAACAAAAATCAAACATAAGCAGAAATCAGACAAGATTATTGACATCTGTGTACTTACATCTGACATCTTACATGGCTAACACCAAGGCCCCTTGGTATACAACTGTGGATTCATGAAGAATTAATAATAATAGTAGTAAACACTCAAAAATATCCATTAAGTAAATGCAAGAATGAATGACAGGCTCAAGGAATCAGGTATAAAGATCAGAATTGGCCCAGCATCTCCAAGTCATCTAGAAAAAAAAGATTAAGGGTAAAATTGTGGAAATGGAAACTATAAGTTCTAAAAGCAAAACATTAAAAGAAATGAGTTCGGGGGGAAAAAGATAAATAGAGAAGAGTATTGTGAAGTCTATACACTGGAGAAAGTGTTTATGGCCCAAGAAGAAAACTTAATCCCAATCCGTATCCCAACTGTGACTCAGGAGGCAGGGATAAAAGGTCAGAAGAAAACATTATCTCACTAGAAAAAATGTACATGAAGGAGAAATGTACCATGTAGCCTTTGCTGACTTTGTGTAATTGCCTGCCAGCAGGTGCCAAGCTAGTAGACTGCAAATCCTAATTGAAACTGAAAAAAATAATTATAAATTTTGAGCCATTTAAAGTTAATTTTACTAATATTATACCATGAAACATGAAGCATTATGAAGACTCCTGATAAGGGAACAAAAGAGAAGAATAAATGCAGCATAATCATTTGATTCACCCTGGAGTCAGGTTCAGCCGTCACTCCAAGCCTGGAGCCTTTCAACACACCAGAGTTTTCAATAAAAATCAATGTGGCTGCACAACATGAATTTCTAACCTTGAGGACCACTAGCGAAAATGTGGACACACCTGCTATATAAAGAGAGATGCTTTAAACCATGCTGATCCAAAGACAGACCAACTACATCATTTCAAAGCACTCTAGATTTATTAACTTTTTTCAACACACACTGGAGTTGAACACTTTCAGCTGGTTTGGACCGTGCTCATCTTCTATATTTGGTTTATTCTTCCTTCTTTTGTGTAAATAGTGGTGAAGTGTGATTCATTATATTCCTAAAGGACTCCTTCAATCACTGCACAGGTCCCAAATGCAAGTATGACATTGGATCTGGAAAATGAGTTCACTATGCTCTAGAGTGAGCTAATACTACCTATATCATTCAAAATGACTGGTTCACAGTCATGGATGTGGTGGCTCCAATTAACCTGTTCCATAAATACTTTTTAGTGAAGTCAGGCCAAAGAGATTAATGTATTTCAATTTGGAAATATTATTTGAAATTGACTGGACCTGGGACAGATTAGAAATACTGCAATTGACCACACACACAAAGTCATGAACCAATTATTAAACTGGCAATGTATTATAATAACTGAGAAACTATTCCTATCTTCCAATCTACTATCTATTGAAAGCCACAGCAGAAACTTAATAGGCTGCCCATACATTGAAAAAGGGGGGAAAGGCAACGATATCTGGATATACATCTTTTGTAAAAGATTTATGTTCATTATGGTTCCATAGTGATTCCGAGGTAGAATTGACTTGAAAACCATATTTAGTGGTGCAAAGGTTGGGGAGATAAACATATTCAGATTCTTTTTAATTATTATGTTTTGCAAATGCAAGGAGTAGGTACATTAGGTATTTGTTTCATAAAGGATGCTGATTATTAAAATGTGAAAATAGAAATTCAGTTTACTGCTGTTCTTTCTATACATCCACAAAATAGTTAGATATGATTGGAAGATCTTGTATCTGTAGGAATCAATGATTATGAGACATAAAAATTATTTGAAAGAGACCATCTTAATGAAGCACCTACAGTAAATTAAATTGACAGTTTCAGCAGATTTGTAACAGAGTCCAAAATCAAATAAAATCATATTTCATAGAGTTCAATGGTAAGTTGGAAAATAGATTAGGACCAATTTTTCATGATTGCATTAAAGAAGAATAACTGGAACTCATCTAAAATGTCTGTTCATCCCCTATCAGATTCTTTTCCATAAGCTTTCTGTGTGCTGTCCTCACAGGGAATTCCCTCTGTGATTTTCACTTGGCAGCAAGTAGTAAATAGAATTAGCCTCATTTGATTTTTTTTTTTTACTTCAAATACTTAATTATTTCCTTCATGGTTTTAAAGCAATTGAAGTATTGAGCTCCATCTGACTGGGAATTGTTGGGAAGGTCATGGAATGTCTGGGTTTGTCAGCCAACTCATGTTATTTCCAACTAACTCACTTTGGTGCTTACTAACTCAGAACTGAAGAAAACTATAAAAAGTCCTGAACCTGTAAACTACGGAGAGTACTAAAAGTGTAAAAGTGCTTCATTCACATCAATCCCAACAGGTTATAAATTTCAAGTTAGAAAGTTAAAGACCCTTAAAATTAAGAAATGCCTAAAGAAATTAAATCAACTTGCACTGCACATTCCCCAAATGTATGCCCTCTCTAATATGATGTAGCTACTAATACAAGAATCTAAAAATACTTCAATATATAAAATCAAATTATTTCTCCTATATAAAGCAATGAAAAATATAACAGTGGAAAGTCAAAGAATAAAACCACTAATATAAGCCACAACTAAATGTGACAATCTGTTTATAATATCAATCATTTCTAGTATTAAAGCTTGTCAACAGCTGTCATTCTTAACATATTTTTTCTTCTGATATACTTGTTAGATTCATGGTATGGGGTACTTCCAGGTAAAGTCACTTCATATCTACTACACTGTTGCCATTGTCTCAAAGAAGAAATTCATAACTCTGGGTTCAAAAAATTCATCTAAAATATTTCAAATGACAAATTAAAGTGCTAAATGCAAAAATAGAAATGTAAACAATGCCAATATGACATATTAAATTACTTTTGTTATAGATTGAATTGTGTTGCCCCAAAAAGATATGTTGAAGTTCCCTAGTACCTCAGAATAGGACCTTATTTTGAAATCAGGTCTTTAGAGAGGTAATCCAGCTAAAATGAGGTCATTAGAGTGGATCAAAATCTAGTGTGACTGGCTGCTTTATATAAAGAAGAAATTTAGACACAGAGGCAAACACACGGGAAGACAATGTGAATGAACACAAGGAGAATGCCATGTGAAGACAGTGGATTTGAGTGATACATCAACAAGCCAAGTAATGCCAGAGATTGCCATCAAACTACAGTAGCTAGAAAGAGGCAAGAAAGGATTCCCTTACAGGTTTCAGAGGGAGTATGGACCTGCTGACACTTTGATTTTAGACTCCTGGCCTCCAGAACTATCACACAATAAATTTCTGTTGTTCTAAGTTACTCAGTTTGTGGTTCTTTGTTATAGTGGCCTGGGAAACTCATGTTTTCCATTATAAAGTTAGGTCAGAGCCCAGAAATAAATCCACACATTTATGGTCAATTAATTTTTGACAATGATGCCAAGAACATAATGGGGAAAGGACTGTCTCTTCAATAAATGGTGCTAAGAAAACTTGATATTCACATGCAGAATATTGAAATTGGACCCTATTTCACACCACATAAAAATATCAACTCAAATGCATTAAAGACTTAAAGCTATGACCTGAGCCTATAAAACTACTAGAAGAGAACAGGGGAAAAGCTCCAGGACGTTGGTCTGGGCAATGGTTATTTGGATATAGTACCAAAAGTACAGGCAACAAAAGAAAACAATAGACAAATGGGGTTATATCAAACTAAAAAGCTTCTACACAGAAAAGGAAGCAATCACCAGAGTAAAGATATATCAACCCACGAATTGAGAAAATATATTTGCAAACTATACATCTTAGTCAATTTTCTGTTCCTATAATATAATGTCACAGACTGGGTAATTTATATAAAAAAGAAGTTTATTTAGCTCACAATTCTAGAGGCTGGGAACTTCAAGAGCATG